CATGGAGAAGGGTACCGGACCTCTCTCCCACAACCAGGCACACTGTGCCAGTGCCTCGGGGCCCACCCGGCGACCCAGGGCATGGAGAAGGGGACCAGACCCTCCTCCCACAACCAGGCGTGCCACACCAGCACCTTGGGGCCCGCCTAGAGACCCAGGGCATGGAGAAGGGGACCAGACTGCCCTCCGTCAACCAGGCACACTGCACCAGCGCCTCAGGGCCCACCCAGGGACCTGGGGCATGGAGAAGGGGACTGGACTGCCCTCCCCCAACCAGGCACACCGAGCCAGCTCCTTGGGTCTCACCCAGTGACTCGAGGCATGGAGAAGGGGACCAGACACACCCCACAACCAGGCATACCACCAGTGCCAAGGAGCATACCAAAAACAGCACCTCCATGTGGGTGGCCCACCGCAGCCACCACAATAACCATGGCTGCCGCGAAAGCAACTAGACACCATAACCACCACGCAGATGGTCCGCCAATCACTGGAGTGCATTCACACAAGAAGAGTCACCAGCAGAGACAAAGAAAAGAAGAGGATGTCTCTTTCCACAAAGCCCATTTCAGAGTGACAGAAGAAGCATCTGCTCTATGATAACACTGGGGGACCCAATCACATCTCTCAGCATTGGAGAGATCATCTAAGCAACAAATTAACAGAGTAACCATTATTCTTTCAGAAGGAGAGATGAAATCTAGGGTAGTTAGAGGGGGGAGGGAATGGGGGAAGGAAAGAGATTGGACAAGGGGCATAAAGAATAATTACGATTTATAACAATATATATGCTAGGGCCGGCCCGTGGCTCACTCGGTAGAGTGCGGTGCTGATAACACCAAGGCCGTGGGTTCGGATCCTATATAGGGATGGCCGGTTCGCTCACTGGCTGAGCGTGGTGCTGACAACACCAAGCCAAGGGTTAAGATCCCCTTACCGGTCATCTTTAAAAAAAAAAAAAAAAAAAAAAAAAAAAAACAATATATATGCTAGTAATATTGATTTGATCAACACATGTCAATGTTCAACCCCCAAAATATGTATAATCGATTTTGATTCAATAAATAAATTTTAAAAAAAAAGAACAGGAGTTGACAGACTCTTTATAGAAAGGGGCCAGATAGTAAACATTTTTGGCTTTCTAATCTATTGAGAAAGCAACCACAGATGCTATGTAAATGAATGGACGTGGGTTGTGTTCTAATAAAATTTTATTTCTTGATAAAAAAAAAAATTAACCAATTGTGCACGTAGCTACACACAAGTCTTTTATTTTATGGTCATCACCAAGGGAGAATTAGTAGAAAAAGATCTAGAGTGAGAGTCAAAAAAGAGGCTTTAGGCCCAACTCCACTACTAACTACCCATGTAACCTTGAGCAAGTCATTTAATTCACTCTCCTTAGTTCCCTCATCTGAAAAATTATGTGTTAGACTCAACAACCTTAAAATATCCAGGCCTAAAGTCCATGATACAATGTCAACTTATGCAATTGTCAGTTCCTGAAAGGTGAAAGTGAAGTCTTAACACCAAAGGCCTTCAGTAAATAAATGCAAAACTTAATTATAAAATAATGCCGAAAATAATCTAGCATGAAGATATACTGTCATTTCAGAACATCTAAAAACTATTAAAAATGAACATAAACGGCTAGTTCAATCAACGATTCCTAACATGTAACTAGAATATAGATCATCCTTATGAAATTTTGCTTTCCTTCCCATAGTTGTGAATCATTACTCATATTATTGTTAAATTACTAACCTACCTTCATTACCTTCTAAACAAACCACTAAGTTAACTGACTCTAAAAATAAAACTCAGGAAATTAATAGTCTGCTAAAAAAAAATGCAACCAGAAATATCAATTTCATCCTGCAAAGAATAATCCCACAGTGCAAAAGTAAAAATGAGGTGATTGAAATTATTCTTTGCAAATAAATATAAAATAAGCTAGAGCTTCCAAATGGCTCTAGATAGCATACTCCAACACTTGAAAATTTAAGTGAAACGAATGAGTTAACAGAAGCTTATCAGTAAATATACCAAAGTCAACTAATAATCTGTTTTCCTTATAAATATCTGAACAAATTTCATTAAAATAACTACTTCCAAGTCCCAATATAATTCTCCTTTGAGATGAAAATAACCAAACAGTAAATTTATTACTTAATGACTAACTAAAGCATTGGAAAAGAGATGCATTCCTAAGAATTACCCTAAAATCAAGCTTAATAACAAATTTGGCACAGCAGCAACAGCATCTTTTATAAAGTATCCCAATCTGTTTAGCAACAGAGAGAAATTTCATTAAACAAATGTGCTTATACATTTATTTGGGTTTTTTTTTGTTTCTGACAGAGCTGAACAAAGGACTTATTTAGTAAATATTAATATATTACTTTTGAAAATGTAATCCTAGATGAGGAAAGAGATGATGATGATAATGTTCATTTGAGCTGTTCATTCAATTGTTACATGGATTTTTCTCACTGGCAGCTCATTACAAGGTGCTATGGACTGAATATCTGTGCCCCCCAAAATTCATATATTAAAATCCTAATCCCCAACATGATTGTATTAGAAGGTGGGATCTTTGGGAGGCAATTAGGTCATAAGGCAGAGCCCTCATAAGTGGGATTAGTGCCCTTATAAAAGAGGCCTGAGAGAGACTCCTGGTCCCTTCTGCCATGTGAGGACACAGCAAAAAGATAGCCTCTGAGAACCAGACACTAAATCTGCCAGTGCCTTGATCTTGGATTTCCCAGCCTTCAGAACTGTGAAAAATAAATTCCTGTTGTTTATAAGCCATCCAGTCTATGGTATTTTGTTATAGCAGCCCAAACTAAAATACAAGGTTCCCTATATCTTTTTAAAACTTCCTAAAGCAGGGGCCGGCCCGGTGGCGCACTGCTACAGTGCGCCGCTTGGGAGTGTGGTGGCGCTCCCGCCGTGGGTTCGGATCCCACATACAGACGGGTTCCTGCTCTCTGGCTGAGCGAGGTGTGGGCGCAGCACCGAGGGTTGCGATCCCGTTGCCGGTCCCGGTCCGGTACGGGCGCGACACTGAGGGTTGCAATCCGTTGCCGGACACGAAAAAAGACAAAAAGGAAAAAAAAAAATAAAATAAAACCAAAAAAGTTAGATCCTATTTCAAGTCAAACAGATCCAATTCTTTCAACCGTCCCTTATATTTCATGGTTTCTAAACTTTCGTTTTCTCATTTTTCCTTTGTGCTACACGTTTCACTTTGTCAGTCTCTTTAGTGATCAGAATTTAAGACAGTTCTCCTAGTATGATCTAAACAGGACAGAATACTGGCCCCTAGTGTAGACTTTAAAACATCTTACCATACCTTGAAAGTGGTTTTTGTCATAATCATGTCAAATGAGGGCTGGAAAGCAGCAGATACTCCTAGATTTTTATTTTTACTTAACTACTGAAAAAAAAACTTCCTAAAGCAGTACTGCTTTAATTTCTAAGTAGCCTACTCAGAAATTCCATCTAAAATTGAAGTTATGAACTTAGATATGATGTTCTAAGACACTGTTTCTACAGGACACTGTAAAACCTTCAAAAGCAAGAGAATATAAACATAGCTGGTGTGGTGAATGTAACTCAGGCATTACCCAGGATAATGGTATCCTACCATGACCTGCGGTGACAGTACAAAGAATGTAGTGATATATATTATGAGGCACTCTACAACCCACTTCCTGAGCACTGCCAATCTTTGTGGCCTCATTTATAGAAATTAAACATTTATAAAGCACCTAGAAATGTGCCAGGCATTATTAATACAAACAGGAACAAGACACAGTCCCTGACATCAAGAAGGTTTCATAGATACAGAAGAAAATAATCATAAGACAATGTACTAAGTGTAATGACATTAGAAATCATAACTGCAAGTTACATTGGGAGTACACAAGAGTGACACCTAATCCAGCTGGGCGTAAGCAAAGATTTCCTGGGGCAGAGAATGCCTACAGATTTAAAATAGAGAAATTAGAAAGGGAGTGGGTAAGATTCAAGAGAGAAAGCTGGATACCAATAAGCAAAAGCACAGTAAGAAGGGAACAGTGTTGCTTCCTGTGTGGAACCAAAAGCAAGTCAGTGCATTGCTAATGCATAAATTATGAGATGAAGATAAAAATGTGAGACAAGTAGGCACCATATCATAGCTGGAGCCTAGCGTGACATATTAGATTTGCTCTGTAATCCAGGGAGTTTCAAACTGTTTCAGAAACCAAACCTTTTTTTAACAATAGAAAGCCTCCATAAAATACCAGCAAGTTCTATAAAAATAGAGCTGAATGGTGTGAGGGTCCTCCCCATGCTTAGCCCACACATTGCAAGTGCAGTTTGAAAACCATGTCTGTGAAGATTTAAGCAAGGGCATAAGATTTGTTCTCTTGATATATCATTCTGGTGGATGTTTAGAGAATGGATTTAAGCAAGATAAGATTGGAGGCAGAGACACCAGCTAGGAACAGGTGACAACAGCCAAAGCAGGAGATGATAAGGACCTGAACCAGTGTCATGGTAGTAAGGATAGAAGAAAGCAGAACAGCTTTGAGGACCATCAGGAGGTCTTCAAAGAAGCTCAACTAATTGCATATATGGTGGCTATCAGATCCCCCTTGGCAGTATTACTTGATCCCAGTTGGAGAGATTAACACACTAACCAATTTCCAAGGGAAGGAACCTATCTCCTATACGTAGTGTAGTAGTTTACTGAACATTTTCTAACCACTAACCAATGCTTAACTTCTTTGATAACAACTTTTCTTGTATTCAATATTTCAGCAACCAATAAATCTAGCAGGTTTTCCTTTTTCTCTTACTTTTAAAAGGAAAGTAGAAAACTACAACCTGTTCTAGGACATTTCTTCAGGAGAAAACATTATAGTCAAAGTAGCTTTAAAAGAAAAAAAAAAAAACTAGCTCTAAAATTAGCATATGCCACTCTTTCTCTCAGTTATTTTATTTTACATTACCTTTCAGGGCATTGCTGGAAAAAAGCTGTCAGCTGCTGCAAAAGTACTGGCCAGCAATCAGGTCTATGTTCAATCACAGTGATCAAAGGCTGAGGATGATTTCTGAAAAACACGAAGTCACATTGGAAGCTGTCATTTCAGGACTACACATTCTCAATATCCAAGTATAGCAGCAAAAAAGCCAGCACCATCTAGAGACTTTTTCCAGGATTCATAATTGTCACAAAACTATCACTGCTATATTTGTTGCAAATTTGGTTCATTAGAACTAACTTCACACCCCCCCACCTCCATATCTAACTGTTTTGCAGAAAAGAAAATGGACCCTGAAATCTCAGAGACCCAAATTTAAGAACAAACTGAGCTATTTAATAGCTCTATGATTTTGGCCAAGTTCCTGAATCCAGTAGCTCTCTCCTATCTATTACCTTGATTCCTTCATTCCTGGAGGTTATTTCCTCTCTCTGTGTGTAAGCACTATCTCTCCCTTTCTGTTCCCACTTACTCCATTCTTCTCAGTAGATGGTTCTATGTTCCTCCAGCATATTTAAGATGAAGGAAAAGAAAACAGTCCTCCAACCTCAAACAACAAACTATCCAAACTGAAAACCCTTGAAATCTCTGTTGACCAGGGATAAAGCTCTTGATCTGTGCTACTTCCATTAAGATAACTAAAAATAGGGCCGGCCCGGTGGCGCACTGGATAGTGCGCTGCTTGGGAAGCGCGGCGGCGCTCCCGCCCGAGGGTTCGGATCCCACATACAGACCGGTTCCCGCTCACTGGCTGAGCGAGGCGCGGGAGCAACGCCGAGGCTTGCGATCCCGTCGCCGGTCCCCGGTCCGGTACGGGGGCAACACTGAGGGTTGCGATCCGTTGCCGGACACGGAAAAAGACAAAAAACAAAAAAAAAAAAAAAAAGATAACTAAAAATAGTATATAAAATGAAATCTGAAGGATTCTCAAAGAATGGGGTTTAAAAAAGAAAAAGAAAAAAGTAAATAGTTCGAAAAGCCCAATAGTAATTGTAAATTCATCAGCTCTTTAAAACTTGAAGTACTATACAAAGTTTTTAGTTATTATTGATTTGACTTTTTCTCTTAAAAAAAATTTAAATAAAATTTTAAATGCTCATTGTAAAAAAAAAACCTAAAATATAGAAATATCAATCTTGGGGCCGGCCCGGTGGCGCACTGGATAGTGTGCCGCTTGGGAAGCACGGCGGCACTGCCGCCCGAGGGTTCGGATCCCACATACAGACCGGTTCCCGCTCACTGGCTGAGCGAGGCGCGGGAGCAACACCGGGGGTTGCGATCCCGTTGCCGGTCTCCAGTCCGGTACGGGGGCAACACTGAGGGTTGCGATCCGTGGCCGGACACGGAAAAAGACAAAAGACAAAAAAAATAAATAAATAAATAAATAAAAAAATAATTCAGACCAAATAATTTTTTATAACTGCCTTCTCAGTGGTTCTCAAAGTGTGATCGCCTTATGAACAGCATCAGCATTACCTGGGAACTTGTTAGAAATGCAAATGCTTAGCCTCCAGCCCAGACCTAATAAATAGCCCTGCAAGAAATTCTATAAAGCACTGGTTCTCAACCTTGGTTGCAACTGTGGAGCTCTTAATACCAATGCCCAGGTCACAATTATCTTGTAGTTGCTAGGAATGGAGTTCATGCATTAGCAATTTTTTCAAACTCTATGGGTGATTCTAATGTGTTGCCAAGATTGAGAACCGCTGCAAGTAAATACCACTGAAGAGAGTGGTCAGGTTGGAAATTTTTCTGATTTTTTTTTTCTCTTTTGAAAACAGATAAGTATGATAAATCTACCACACTGAATCACTCATGTTAAACACCTCTCTGATACTACTACACAGTTTTGGGGTAATATAACACCATCTCTTTATTTTCTCCTCAATCTAACCTAATCCATTATTCACTAACTTAACATGCTGGCAGCCTCCTGTTTATAAAAGCACCGACTTTTTCTGACTGATCAGATTACTACCATTGCTAAGGTATCACGCCAAGCATCTTTTTATGCCAAAACTCAAAAATTATATCAAAATCATGTTTCTAAATTCTAAATCCTTTGGCAGTCACACCTATCTAGAACTTGCTTCTTCTACAGATGCCACAGATATTAAGAAACAAATATCACAAATCCTAAAAGCCTCTCAGGTATGAGATGAACTTCTCAGACTGAAAGTTCATCAGGTCATGTACAATTAATACCTCCAAATAAAAAGGAAAGAATAGTAACTGTGATTATTTTAGCTATGGGTTCTTCTGATAAACAACATATTGACATAAGGAGTATCAGATATGACCATCAATTAATCCTCCAGCTAATGGTGGCATTCATGACCATTTAAGAAGAAAATCCAACAAGTTACCATAAAATTTTTGTTTGATCATAAAGCACTGAAGTGCTTTTCAATAGTCTTCCCTTATTAGTCATGCCCTTCCCCTTCCCACCCTTCACCCCCAAAAAACACACATGTACACATGGCAAATAACTCTTATAACCCAGCTTCTACTCCAGTCACATTGAGGAAACAACTTCTAGTTTCACTGCATGAAGCTGAAGGCTGTTTTGCTAGCTATTGGATTCAGTAGATTCTATTTAGTATCTCAGACTTAAACTCTAAAAATGAGATTAAGTAGAATCTAGTAGGATAGAGATTATCCAGATTAATTACTGATTTAGACCTCTGGATAATTAACTTTTCCAGATAATTGATTATGTCAGATCTAAGTGGCAATATTGTAGGGAGTAATATACAATATTGACTTGAAGAAGCTGAAAACCTACAGGGAGAAGGGAAGTACAAAATGAGAATTCTGACTCTTCCTGTGGATTAGCATTTGATTACTATTATTATACTATTTCAACTGAGTACAACTAACCTAAAATCAATTATAATTGCCAAAATTTTGTATTAATACTTTAAACATAATGAAGCAAAAAGATAAATTCTCCCTTATTAATCATTAAATTATGTGAATACATATATAAAAAATATATAAAGCTTTATGCTTAAGTAACAGAACAATGAATTTATTAATTCAATAAACTTAATTGTGCAACTGCCATGCACGAGAGTTTCCCCATCTTAGCACTATTGACATTTTTGGGCCACATAATTCTTTATTATGAGGTCATCCTACACACTGTAAGACGTTTAACAGCACCCCTGGACTCTACACAGGAGATACTAGTGTCATTCCCCCTCATCATATGAATCAAAAATGTCACCAGACATTAGCAAATGTCTCCGGGGGGGAAAAGTGCCCCTGGTTAAGAACCACTGCACTAAGTACATGACAAGTATTATGGGAGGCACAACACGGAATAAAGCATGGTACCAGCCCTGAGTTATCCAAAAAGACTGATTCTACCTTCACCCTTCTTTACACTGAACCAAAAGTAACCAATCAAGCATGCTCAAAGTTTAAGTTTTTTATGGAAATATAGTTATCAAATATTAACATTGGGTGCACAAGAGTAGTAACAACACAGTAGAAACTAGAAGACTTAAAACGGAAAACAAATGTAAAATTATTCCTTTGCAAAATACAGAATCTTGTTCCAAAATAAAAGGCATTAAATAACATACATGCTCATTTGGGTATGACAGTAAGTGGAGTTATTTTCCTATTTAAAATATTATAATTCAATCATTTTAAATGCCATAAGACTAAGTATAGTTTACTCTTAATGTATTCATGGATTGATTATTAAATTTATGGATTATTCAAGATTTTTTTTTCTTCCTCTCACTCTCTGCCATTCCACTTCTTTCAAGTACATCCAACTGAGAAAGGTCAAGGTAAATGAAAGGATCCACAATTTAAACAAGTCAAATTAATAAATTTAAAGTGCTATTGCTCAGAAAAAGAAATAATGTGGTACAAAGAACACCAAAACAAAACCTCAGTTATGCCTTAAAATTTAAATTATCCCCAAAGCTGCTATTCAAGTTATGAAGAGTAAGTTGACTACAACCCTTCTCTCAAAGTGATAGATAGGCTGACCACATAATCAACCTGATCACTTATCAAACTAATAGTGGCAGACAATAAGCTATACAAATTTGGGGGGGGGGAATCACAAATGTGGCACATTATCATCATTATTATTATTTACGTAAGCAGTGGCTACACAGGATCATCAAAATCATTTACCGCTATGTGGCCATGTACGTATCTTAGGGAAAACTAGAAGTGGAGAGGTGGATGAAATAGCGGGGAGGAAGCAATAAATTAAGAGTCAAGAGTTCCAAATTTATATTCTGGCTCCACAACAAATCACGTGATCTCAGGTAAAAGAATTAACCTCTCTTGGCCAAAGTTTCTTCATCTGTAAAATGAGGAGATCAGACTTAGTACCTTCCAGAGCAAATGTTATATAACCAAAGCCACCCATTAAAGCCCTAACCTCAGTACTGCTCAGGACTAGAAGTGGAATAAAACCCTGTAAAGGCAGAAAGCAGTAAGGACGGTGGCCCTCAGCTACTAATAACTCTATGCCAAAATTAAATGGCTCTAAGGCCAATGTCTAGTAAGATTTAAGGCCTCGAAAAAGAGGTCTCCTATTTTTACTTCAAAGGATAAATTGTCTATATTTTTAATTTCAGAAGGAAGTAAAGTGCTATGTCCAGAAAGAACCTACAGAATTTTAAAGCAGAATTTCTTAACTCCTCAGATATCCAATAGATTCTGCTTTCTCCTTAAAAGAGAATAACATTGTTTCTAAAGATCAAAATCAATACAAACCAGGCAACCAGGTCACCCTTCATTGGCCTATGTCTCCTATGTCTCTAATGTCTCCTTTATGTGGAGGGTTTTTTTTTTCCTGCTATACCATAAATAAACTAATTTATTGCACATTCTTTGGCACTTTCCCATTTCATGATTTACAAATGTTTTAATTGTTATTTTAAATAAAGCATTTGACACAATACGTCACAATAGTACCCATAAATGGGTACTATTATCCTGAGGGTAGGACAGAAGCACTCCATAAATGGGTACTATTATCCTGAGGGTAGGTTTGTTTTTTAAACTACAATATAAACAGCTTAGTACCCATAAAT